GGGTGGGATTATTTACTGCCCTGTCTCAGCGGCTTCATCGCGTTCATATTCACAGAGCCAAGAAAAATGCTTTAAAAAAGGCCTTTGGAGCTCGAGGAAAAGCTGCGTAGTCTTCTGACGATCAGAGAAAAAAGCCCTCTGCTCAAAGCCTGCCCACAGGTTCATTATTTTTTGGACACTTCTGCTGTACTTCACAAACTCCTGCACGGTGTTTGTTTAGAAAACACGCAGCTCGAGCCTCAGTCAGGACACGGGAAAGCTTGCGCTCATCAAAATGCCCCGTGGCCCGAGGGAAGGTGTGCGGAGCGGGGAGCCAGGTTTGGAGTCTCATACCTCGTCTGTACTCCAAAGCTTTGTTGATAGAAATCTGCTTTTGTCAACATAGCCGGGGGGTTGCCCGCAGACGGTACCTCCAACCTGACAAAACTCCAAGTTTCTGTTTGTGGAATAGCTTCACCTGCCTGCCTGATGTCAGCTCACCGCAGCCTCTGGCTACGGGAAAAGATCCATGCCGCAGCCAGCTGCAGCAGTCCTCCAGCGCTGACGCCAGCCGCACCGACTGCAGGTTTCAGCTCAGACTGACTGGAGGCCTGCCTTCCTCTTGAAATCCTCGTTTCTTCCAGCACACCGTCGGTTTTGGTGCCTGTGAGTCAGTAAATGAATGTGGAACCGAACCCCAAGTGTGTTCCCCACCCCCTGCTCCCACCTGGAGCAGAGCTGGGGTCCTCAGCCACCTCAGACCCCGATGGGGCGGGGAAAACTGCGTGGGGGCATCTTCAGAGAGAGCTCTGTAATTGCAGCACACATGAAAAGAGCCCAAAGTGCGCAGCTCCGGGGGCGTGGGGCTACAGGCAAGATGAAAATCAACACAGGGCCAAAGCTGACTATCCCCCCAAGGCTTGTAAGGGCGCAGTCTGAAATATTCAGTGCTTCAGGGGTTCTGTTGTCTCCTGCCCTTTCTTCTCCTCCTGGGAGCTGTGCGAGAGTCCAACCCTCAGCTTCTCCTGCCTGCAGATGTTTGAAGATCGCTTACATCATGGGGAAGCAGCGATGACCCTGTTGGCGAGGAGTAAAAAAGGAATGATGCTGATCTCGGGCACCTCCGCAGATGACGATCTGCTTGATACCCACACACCAAAGCCAGTGCCGCTTGCAACAGAGAACGAGTGGCATGGACAGAAAAGGCAGCCGGATAAATCGCACCTCTTGCTGCTCCTTGCCCTGAGCGTGTGCTGACTCTCTCCTGGGCACCACATGCTCTCCCAGCACGGCGTGGCTGTGGTGGGGGCCTTGCTCACTCTCCACGTGCTGGTAGATCAGGGGCTAGCGAGGGGCCAACCGTTGGGTTCTCTAGCTCCTGGCTCTCCTTGCTGTAGCAGGGTGCTGTCGCTCTGGGCTGTGTTCTTCAGAGCTCTCCTTTATCCGGAAAGGATGTCACCTGCTCTCAGCCAGGATCTCCAGGCAACACTTGCAGGCTGTCCTTGAGGTTCTCTGAGCTGTCACCCGTGGCGTGACTCACTCTGCCTCTCTCTAAGCACTTAAAGCTCAGCAAAATGCCAAAGCCTGCCCTCCAAAAGCACTGGGATGTGTTTTTTCTGCCCTCTTCTCAGCCACAGCTGGAAAACAGAAGGTAATAAAGAGGTGAAATGATATTTTCTGCGGGCGCTCGCTGCACAGGCCTGCCCGTGCCTCCTAACGAGAGAGGAGCGAGTGCCTTGCTGCCTTTCCGTGGCAGCACTGCTAGGCACAGCAGCAACGAGATTTCCTTCCAGGCAGCTTTCCCGCTGCACCAACTTGTGTGAAAAGCCGACGCAGAGGCGCGGGGAGTTGGCAACAGTCACGCTGAAAGCAAAGAGAAATAGGTGAATAAGCATCCTGGCGCTTTTTCACTGGCATCCCTCAGCGCGTTGTAAGGGCAGAGCAGCTGGAGTTGCTGCAGAGCTCGTGGCAGTGTGCCGGCGTTCGAGCGGTGACACGTTTGTGGAGCTGGTGAATAGATCAGGTGCTGCAAAGGGTGGAAAGATCGAACGTGGCGTGAACTTGCTAGAAGCAGCGAAAGGCAGGGAGCAGCTACATGTATGGGATAGATTATGGATTCTAACAATAAACAGAAATCCCTCAGAAGCCGCTTGACCACCAAACCCAGCTAGGGCGACGGAGACGCAGTGCTGGGGGTGCTGGTTTTGACCGGCTTTCCAGACTCTGCGCCCAAAACGCCAGGCCCGGAACAGGCCGAGAGAGGGTGGGAGGAAGCTGCGGCGCGGGGTGAGGAGCCCTCTCCTCGCTTCCAGGCGACGTCTCCTGCAGCTGGAGCTGTGCCGTGCTGGCACCCGCTTGGCAAACCGTACGCTCCGCTGCCTGCTGTGAGTCACCATCATTACCGTCAGCAAAACCCTGCCGTAGCCCCTTTGTCTAATCTTTTTCTGCGGTCTTGTGATGATCATTTTCTGTGCTTCGCAGCTTTTATTGCTGCAGCCTTGTTAAGCCCTTTTTTGTAGGCTTCAGGGCGTCTTCATCTCGTAAGACACCACATGACCTGAGAGGATGTCCAAAGGTGTTCCTGCTGGAAGCAGGAGTGAAAGCCAGGCCCCAATAATGTGACACCTGTAATTTCCGCCTGTTAATTCCAGCCATGAACAACGTCACAGTCCCTGGTGTAGAGTTTGCACACTTGAGTGTAAAAAGAGACCGTGCGTATTACTTCTCCATCTCCTTCGCTCGCTCTGTCCCATTGCTGTGTTTCCCCGCAGAAATACATCATCGATCTCGCCCACAGCGCAGCCCGGGAGTTTGTTTCGGGCGGGAAGCACAAAGAAGCTCTGCCTGCAGCTCTGCACGCCCTGCGCTTCAGCACCGAGGTGTACGGCTCCGATTCTGTGCAACTGGTGCCTGCTTATCTGCTCTTGGCCGAGGCCTCCATGGGTGAGCATTGTCTAAATAGTAACACTGGCAAGGGCAAGACCTCCCTGGGGTCAGGTTTCTGGTTTCCTTTCGCCATTTATGGGGGAAGGACCAGCTCTGTGTTTCAGCATTGTGCCGTGTCCGTACCCTGCCTCAAGGGCATTTCAGAGAGATTTGAGAAGGGACACACATCCTCCCCTTTTCTCTGTGGGTGAGGAGAGGTCAATGGACACAAATGAAACATTTTCTCTATCTCTACCGACTCCCACAGGAGAAGCGGTGTGAAAATCTCTGCTGTGCCTCTGTGGCTCCGTATGACTCTCAGAAGCATTAAATTCCCGAGGGTGGTTGGTTGCGCTCTTATCTCGGGGAAGCAGCAAACATTTTGGAGGGCGTTGCAGCAGAGGAATGCCTCAGTTCATTCACAAAAGCGCGCTCTGCCTGAGCTTTTGCTCCTCGACTGTAGGCTTTATAAAAAACGTCGAATTAGGACCCTGCATGCGGAGAACCGCCCTCCTCAGCTGCGGACGTAAAGCACCGAGAAAGCGCTGTAAATCATTGCCGCAGCCGGAGCGCACACAATGCTCTGCTGGCAGGATTGAGCTGTCTCAGGGATTGTCGTAAATGGCGTGGCGAGAGCAGGGAAAAAAAAAAATCCCATGAGTAATTCTAGCGTGATAGTGCACGAGTCATCACTGGCTGCCCGTAGGTAACCTGTTCTGAACATGTGTTTGAGAGATATCGAATGCAATGCACAGTTTCTGGCTTCTCGCGTTGCTCCGGACGCTCAGCCTGTCTGTAAATTAGATTTTAAACACCTGCTCGACCAAGGAGCGCTTGGGAGCGCAGTGAGGAATCCACAAACCGGGTCTCCGTACCAAACTAGTGCGAAGGGATAGCGGGCAGCCTTCCCTCCATTCCTAAATTAAAAAATGCTCGTTATCCCGCTTATTTCTGTGTCTCGTTTCAGGTGTTGGCCAGCTTCTGCAGGCGTCAAAGTACCTCTCCCAAGCCGAGTGGATTGTCCTCAGAACCCCAGACTGCAGCCTGGCTGTGCAGCATAAATTACATCGTAGTCTGGGGCTCTGCTGTGCTGCCAAAGGAAACTTTGAGCAGGCTTTATATCACCTGGCAAACGACGTAAGCCGGCTCAAATACAGAAACGCTTCGATTTTGTTTCCTTTCTAACCCTTCCAGATCGATAGGAAAACCCCAGCAGACAGTTTTGTCACCCCGATTTCAGGTGCCGAGAGGACGCACGCTGTGACCGCTGGATCTGAGGCGCCTGTGTGTCCGTGCGTTAGCCACAGCTGCGGTTCGCCAGTTGTCCGCGCTCCCCGGAGGTGACAGACACCTCGCCTTTACCGCATCTGCTTATAAATTTATCTGTCAGCTTGGCCACGGCCGTGAGGTGAACCGACATGCCTGTCCCCAGTTGGTAGAGTTGCCTTTTGTTCGACAGAGGAGTGACTTCAGCTGTCATTTTCCTCGATGCTGTTCTGTTGGAGAACAGTTCTCTGCCGGCCGTTACCTACCAGATGCCTTATTTAACTATTTAAATGCCTGGTTCAGTGGCATTTTTCCAGATTCGATCTGAGCTGCGAGGGCGGTTTGTCAGATTGGAAGTAGTTGTTGCCCGCTGTGTTCCTGAGGATGCTTTCCCTGTCATTTGATCCCCCAAAGGCAGACGAGCTCCCTGACATTCCTATTTCTGTCCCGCGCAGACTAAATTTATCCAGTGCAGAGTGATGCATACGCGCTACTGTTGAATTTGATCGTAGCTTTGTGTGGGAGTAAATGATGGTATAGGGCTGAGGAGGATTAGATCCTTTTTGTTACAATAGATACAACCCCGTCTTTGCTTGTTCCGTAAACCTTTCCGGAGGGATTCCCCGCCGTGCCGCTGGTTTTTCAGGTGCTCCGGATCTGCTGCCTGAAACGGCGGCAGGTAACGTGTTTTTTATTTGCTGTAAGCAAGTCGCTGCTCCACAGAGCAGCCCAGGACCTGCCTGAACTTTGGAAAAAAAACCGGGCAGCGGCGGCAGGGTGCGTGTCCGGAGACGGGAGGCACGCGGGTTGCGCGGGGAGAGGGCGAGGTGTGGGAGACCTGCCCCGTGCTTCCACGGGGTGACACGCTGCCGTGAGGGCCCCTCCGCCCCACAGAGCGGGGGACTTGGGGGCATTTCTCTGCTTTGTATAAAACCCAAAATACAGCTTTTTTAGGACCACATTTTACACTCGTAATCAGGGATAACTAACACTGAAGTGACACAGAAAAAAAAAAATAGAATGTTTACAATATTATTAATCCATAGTGAAAGATTTCCCAGGTTTGATGAAAATGTTAAATTTCTGCTTTTTTTTTATTTTTAATGTTGCTTTCAGGTTTACCTTGCTAGTTCTGCATTTGGACTAAAATCTATTGAGACCTCTGGCGGGTATTTCCACATGGCCAGTGTTTTCTTTCGCCAGAACAAAATGGATGTAGCAAACTCACTCTACACTGAGGTTGGTAAAACCAAAGGTTGTCCTCTACATATTTCTCCGGTTTTTTCCTGTGCCCTTTCCAATGTTTTTCCTGCCTTTAATATAATGGTTACCATCTCAAGTGCTGGCCTTGCCTTCTAGGATCAATCTCAGAAACCTTTCTCATCCTTAAATATTTCTCTGGGTTAAAAGCAGGAGAGGTTAATTCTGTACTCGGTAAGAAGTTGTCGTGCAAGTTGGCTTCAATTCAGGCAGCCAAACCTTGTTAAAAAATAATTTTGCTACCAAACACCCCGCGCCAGAGGTCAGAGAGAGTCCCACATCAGAGAGCATCGCCGAGGGGTTTCTGTGGCCGGGGAAGCGTCGCTGTGCAGCAGCGGGACACCAACGAGCCACGTCAAATTTACATGGAGAATCAGGGAAGAGTCACACTGAGGAAAGATTGTCAGGACGGAGTGATCAGGCAAGGGAAGTGACAATTAGCAAATCACTCTAATAACTGGAAAAAGAAGAGCTTTCCTGTGTTTATGCTGATTTTCTGTGGAAATGAGGCTTTGGCCGCCACGCAGTCTGCCTCCGTTGCCCTCACAAACTTCGACCAAATTTGCTTTAGGCTAACAATTTCGTTAGATTTGTTCAAGTTTAACGGAAATCGGTCGTCAGGTGGAGAAGCGAGCTTCTCGCTCAGG